GACAACAATGAAATTATTGTATTATGATAAATATATATTTGATTTATGTAAAAAAAATCATAAAATAAATATTTATAACCTAAGTTATATTAAATGTGAAAATATATTTTATTACCTTATTATTAGACTCAATATAAAATAAAATATAAACTACATACAATAGCAAATTTAATAAGTAAGAGATAGTTAAAAAAAACATTAATATATTCTGATAATCGTCAGTATTGTATGGAAGCTTCTGTGTCCTCTATATAAGAGAGGATTGGGTATTTTTGCTTTCCGTGCCTTTCTGTGATAAGTTTTGTAAAAAGAAAAATATAAAATAAACAGAAACAATATATATAGATTGTGACACATTTTAAAATTTATGAAATAAGTTTATTTAGGTCACATTTTAGGCTTGCAAAGTCCGCCTCATTTTTTTTGTTTTTTTAAGATGGATTTAAACAGATGGATATGTTCATTTGTCACTTCTATTTTTAATAATCTTTCATCGATAATAACAATAATAAATAAAATTACATGACGAATTTGTAGTAAAATAGAAATTAACTAGTAATCTTTAAAGATTTCTATATTTTATGTATCAGTCATTTATTTCTTCATCTAACATCTCAATCATAAAATCAATGTGAAATTGATGCTTTCTTCTACTAATTGTTCAAGGTCAATATCAACAGGATCAACTTTAGTATTATAAGAATTCCAACTTGTGGGAGTCTTATTATGAACTCAAAGAATTTATGTTAATGATTCTTTTTATTACCATAATATAGAAAAAAAATTTAATGCATATTATAAGTTTTTTAGCCACCACGTAAAAAATATATAAATGTTTATAATCTAGAGATGCATTTTCGGACACACCAAAAGTCCAGTTAACGTTAAAATATTTCTGAGATATAAATTCAGTTAACGTTAAAATATTTCGGAGATATATCTTCGAAATATTTTGGAGGTTAAATCGTGTCAGACCCTTCTCCTTTCTTATTTCTCATTTTACTCAAACTCAACTTCAAACTCTCTCAATTTTTTTCTCTACACCAAGTCAAAACTCAACCAACAAGGCTTAACAGAACTTCAATCATCAGAAGTAACATCAGAAACATCAATTTCTTGTATGTTTTTAGAGTTTTTGATAAAATTTTTAGTTTTTGTGTAAATGAGTAAAAATTGATTATTAAGGTAAATTTTTAAGTTAGTTTAGACATAGTGTGTTAGACGTTTGTTGGTTGAAAAGGATGATCAAATCATGTTTCTTTCGGGATTGCATAGGGTACATTGACGCATCTTTTGAGTTGCAGAAAACTCTGGAGATGCATCTCTGGAATTTTCAGCGTTTTAGTTTCCCAGATTTCGGAGATGCATATCCGAAATTTTCTCAACATTTTATTATTTTCTTGCTTGTAGTATAGTTTGTATGCAGTAATTGTCTGATTTACTTTAACTTACAGGCATAATGGTTGATAGGCACGATAGGCACAGGAGAATTGCTCAGTACGCATCAGTGCGACGGGAGAAGAGTCAGTAGGTTTTGGAGGCTCTTGGTCCCTCTGGTCATGCAAATCCATCTACTTCTAGAGTTCGTGTTTCTCCTCATGCCACTCCATCTTCTTCTTCCTTTAGTAGACGAGATTCACCATTTGACGCATCACTCCTTCCATCCTCCTGCAGGTGCCAGGTTTCCCCTATTCAATGGCTTGAGGTACCCGATTCACAGGTGTCACCTCCTACTATAGATGTTGTTGATCCAGTGTCACCTCCTACTTCTGACGCTGCTTATCCAGTGCCACTTCCGGAAGGTAAGATTGTTGCGGATGCTGAGCCAGAGGCATTTGGAGGAGGCCTTGTTGATTTGTCATTACTGCCTCTGTATCTAGACCATACTGCCAAACTTATCTGAGACAGAGAGGTAACATTAGTTGGATTCATTATTTTTTTACGTTAATTTTTATTGATAAATTTCTGACATTGATTTTTTTCCAGGAGCATGATCCGCAAAAGTTTATTAACCACGGGCCTAAGATTGCTGGATTGCCTCAGCCGAATGAGATTTGGTTTCAAGAAATTTTGTCCTTATCTGTCTTGAAGGAATTGTGCATGACTGACTATACTATGGTCAACCACAGGACGCTTAATGCATTCGTGGAGAGATGGCAGTCTGAGACCTCTTTGTTTCATCTCCTGTATGGTGAGATGTCTATCACACTCGACGATGTCTCATGTTTGTTACATCTTTTGATCAGGGGGATTCCTAGATAATAGGAGGATTGCAAAAGACGAGGCACTCGAGATGATGATATACTATCTAGTGGTTGATCTAGATGAGGTAAAGGAAGAGTTGGATAAGACTACTGGTGCTCACGCTAGATTTGAATACCTGAAGAAGATATATGAGGCTGAGATCCTGAGAGCACAATAGGCTGAAGGTGATGATGAGCAGGTGGCGCTCTACAAATCGCATGTTATAAGAACATTCCTGCTATATTTAATTGATACTGCGTTTTTTGTGGACAAGAGTACCACTTATATAGAATTCGTCTATTTATGGTACTTCGAGCGGATCCATGAGTACAACTAAGGGGTCTGTTTAGTCTACATGTACTCGAAACTGAGAGAGGGTTGTATGTGGAAGACGAAGCAGATCACAAGCAGCGTCACACTACTGACGGTAATAATTATTGGTCTTTGAATGTGTCTTTGTCATTTTCATTTCATCTTTGCAAAGTCATTACTGATGATTCTAGTGTTCCAAACTTTTTATTTCAGGCTTGAATCCTCCAACACTTCCTGCGCATCGTTGGTTGGGAGATTATACTGTCTTACATTGAGGATATGTTGCGTACTACTGCTTTTTTCCCCACTCAGAGGAAACCAGGAGACCGAGTCTTATAGAGTTTATCTTGATTGTTTGTTTGTTGAGTACTTACACTTCAACAACTATGTTAATCACCGTGAGACGTACCCATTTGACGAGATAATGATATACTTTTGATGGTTGACATGCGGATCACGTCTCACTGCTTCTCATCTTCCTGAGTGCATAATGCGGCAATTCTGCTACACTCATACCATTACCAGACACCCTGTTGTCTCTGCTCATCCTGTATTGACACGTAGACAGATAGATGACATGTTTGATGATTATGAGAGGCATCTGATGTCGGAGGAGGCACTGAGTACCATAGCTAAGAGCGACTGGAGCTACGTCGAAGGGTACATCAGATAGTTCTTCAGGGTGTCACATATGTACATGGTGCATGTTGCTCCAAGAAATCTGTCAAGTCCGACTCATTAGGAGATATTAGAGGAGGAGCATGCACATCTGAATTTATGTATGTATTTTTTTCGAGTTTTGATTGGATTGTATGGTTTAAACCTGTATCTAAATACACGTAAACAAAACGTAATATGAAGAGTTTTGTTCTTATATGTTAAAGAGATGTATTTTTGAAATATTCACGGAGATGCATATCTGGTCCTATTCATGTGTATAATGGCTTCTGATTGTGATGCATATTATGTTTTAAATTGTTACGGAGATGTATTTTCGAAATATTTTAACATTTATTCAGAATTTGATGCGTCCAAATATACATCTTTAAAATCTAAAGACATTAAAATAATTTCGTATGGTAACTAATAAACATAAAAAAATGCATTAAAAAAATCTTCTAATATATATACCTTTGTCTCGAGTGAAACAATAAACTAGTCTAAGATTAAAGAATAACGAATAATTTGAGCTTCTCTTTCTTGCTTATCAAAATAGATTTCTTTGTGGTTAACATATCATCTCTTAATATATAATCTCTTAAATCAAACACGTCGAAGGTGTGAGATTAATTATATTTATCAAAAAGATAATGGTTGTGCCGTTCACTTTGCAAAATATGTCACAAATTCACAATAAATAGTTTAGTTTGATAAAATTTTATAACTCCTCATTCTTCTTTAATTTTAAACAAAATTATACTAGGTTATTTACCTTCTTTTTTTTTAAATAAGGTGGTCCTTTAAGTTTTTATTCTAACAATTTGATTCTTTAGAATAATTTTTATATTTTTTTCTCACATTTTAAACATTTAAAAATATATAATTATTGTATTTTTAATTGCACTTCATCATTTTTATACTCAAAATAATAGATCCACAATTAACACATTAAATCTATTAAAAAATAACATTATTTAATAATTTAAAAATCAAATTATTAAAAAAAAAACTTAAATCAATCTATTAAAAAAAATTTAAAGGACTTTCGGAGTAATATTATCTTAATTTTTATTATTTCTTTATGATAATAGATAAAAAGATTTCTCTTATATTTTTAAATTTTCTTTCCAATAAATAATAGTGAATTATACGTTTGTTCACACCTATTTTTTATACTTATGAATATAATGGATACAAATGCACTTTATATAATTAATCAAATATGCACAAAATTTATTTCTTAAGTACACAATATGCCACAAATTAACATAGCTCGGTTTGTTTTGTCCTTTTTTCAATGATTTTTATAGAGTTATATATTTTGATGTTAAAAAAATTTAAATAAAATTTTGGTTTGAATAATTATTTTTAAAATTTTAATAATATTTTATTATTTTATGAAAAAATTTGAATAATATAATTTTTAAAATCTATTTAATTTTAAAGCTATTTTAAATAATTTTGTATAAAAACCATTTTAAGATATAACTTTTTTTTAAATTGTGATTTTAACTATAGTTTAATCTTTAATATTGTAAATTTATGTTATAAAATATCAAAATTAATTTTTAATTTATAAAAAACAAATTAAAAAATTTTATAATATTTTAAAAGATATTTTATAGAATTTATTTTCAAAAATAAAAAAAAAATGAAAATTTTTTTAAAACTAAATCATAATAATAAATGGATATATAGATAGATAAAACACAGTGTGCACGTGTATATAATATATGTTGTAGAAGAAGAACAAGGATAACACAATTTAGAGAAATTGCAGCAAAATGATGTCGTTGGGCGTTGGAATCTCTATGAATTGCTGCTTTTTGAGAATGTCTCCTTCATGCTATGCACTGTCTTCTTCTTCATCTTTATCTTTTCCATGTTCATCCTTCAACTCCAATAACCTCAACTTGATTCCAAAAGCATCCTCTCAAGGTTAGTTTCATTTTAAGCTTCTTTGTTTTTTCCATTTTCAATCTTACCAAAATCGACACTTCAAATTGTTATGATGCAGAACTTCCTAATGAATTAGTTCAAGACTCAAAATTTGTTCCTATTAAGGATGATGATCCAAGATATGGTCCACCTGTAAGTCATGGTTAGTTTTTACTCAAATTCAAATTACGTGTCACCATATTTAGGGTAATTCTTGTACTGTTTTAGAAATAACTTCATATGTAGCTAAATTTGGGGGTTTCTTTTAATTTGCAGGCCTTGTTGTTGTTGGGATTTGAAGCAGATGAAAACTTGAAGGTGATTTATGCAATAGGATATCATAATTCTTTTACATGTTGTGCTAGTTTCATATGTTTTGTTGGTCTTGAGAGATTTTACCTTGTGCAGATTCAACAGTTTTTGAAAGAGTTAGACGGTGAATTTATGAAGGTAACATCTTATTTGTTGTAGATATTCAAAATAAATTGACAGAAAAAAAATACCAAATATAAGATATTGCATTTGTAGGTTATCTATTGTACCAAAGACATGCTTACGCGTTCACTTTGGGAGGTAATGCATACAGCACAAGATAGTTTGGAAGATGTCAAGGTAGTATTTTTTAGTGATTTACTGTTTTCATATAACTTCAGCCCCCTCGGTGTTTGTTCATGAATTTGTACTAACAGAGATAAGAATTTGTAGAAATGAATTTGTAATCAGAATAAGCTTCATCATTTTTGTGTTTGGCAGCTGTTTCTTACAGATCCATCATTTCTTTGCATAAATTGTGTGCCTTGTTGCAGATAGACAAGTCACTTCCTCGAATATGTTTCTTATCTGGTTTAAGCGGAGAGGAGATGATGATGTTTGTTGATGCTTTCCAAGAAACCGGTAACAAAAATTTGTTCAGTGCTCAAGTGTTATTAATTAACGGATTGATTTTATCAACTATGCCTTAGTGGTCTGTTGGCAACGAAACCTTACTCCGCAGTTTGGAATTTCTTTTATGCAGGACTAAAGTCAGCTGCATTTGCAGCTCTTGTTCCCAACAGTGCTAATAAACCACTATATGAGTTGATAGAAGAAATCACTGGAGATCATGAGATGTTGGTTAGTATTTATATCTAGAGTTATTAATGTTTACATTCTCTTTTGAGTTTTTTTGTTATGTGAAACTCTTTTATTGCTCGCAGACTGGAGAACAGTTGTGATAAATTTCCAGTGAATTCAAGGAGCACATTTGCGAAGCATACTCGTTATCAATATGAATGTACTTAGATTTTAAGTATATAAACAACTAAGTTATGTAAGTTAGCAATTCATTAATCTGCTTTGTTGTAGTAGCAGTCAATCAAAATTGCTATCATAATATAAATTATGAACATATTTGTACTGAAAGTTTTAGTAACAATGAGCATTATCCTACACACACACCGTTCATCTGCTTGTTTTGGAGGGTAGGACCGTTGAAGTTGTGGTGTGAGGAGAGGTGGTTAGAATTGAGTCGTGGGCGAGAATTTGTACACAGGTTGGCTGTGTATATGAATGAAAGAAAGGTACCAAAATGATGGTGGTACCAAAGCATGAGCAAGAAGGGTTCATATGATGTTATTTATGGCACGAAAGGTAATATGCATGACCACAGTCAATAATTGAAATATTATGATCACTACCAACATTAATAGTATTGCTCATATTTGAATAAGAAGTGAACTTACCTCAGTTCATCGTCATATGAGCAGTGGAGTCGGTGTGTATGTTCCATAGATCCACGGGAGGAGAGATTAAGAAGGTATGCAGGGTGTTGCACTCCAAAATTTGCTCAACCTTTTCTTAACTTGGTTTTATGTTTCATTTCATCTCTTTCTAGCATTTGCATTGCATAGCATTTTTCATTAAACAAGGGATCAAGAGGTTGTGCATATCAAGAGGAGTCTACTCAGAGGGTTGAGCATAAGCAAGGGGTGTTACTCAAGTTTGGATGGACATCAAGTCATCTAGAAGTGGGCAATAGTCTTGTGAAAGGATTGATGGATGTATGTGGGTCAGTTCCTGACTTGGAGGCCAGTGCAAGATCATCAGAGGGTTGTAAATTCATGGTTATGGATATAAGATGTTGAGAGAGCTCATTGAGTGCCTTGAGGGCCATTGTGGAGCTCATCCAAGTGTTTATACCAAATGTGGAAAGTTACAGTTGAAGGTGTTGCAATTAGGGTTTTCATCTAGTTAATCCTCAGTCAATTGTGCAAGTGGAGGAGATTAAAACTCAGTTCAAAGTCTCTATGGTCATGGGATGTTGTGTTAGGATACATGAGATAGCATTTCAAGATCAATTCATCAAGAATCAAGAGTGTGAGAAGTTACTAAATTAGGGTTCTCAGGGTAAAATCCCCTATTAAGTGCCTAACTTCAAGACCACCTATCTCAAGATACAGGTTTCATCTCAACTTTTGGCCAACATGAAACTTGTAGAGCATGTTCTTAGCTTTCTTTTGAGTACTAGAAGTCCTTGATTGGATTTATAGAACTCAAGTTATGATCCAGACAAGTTATAGGTCATTAGATGAATGTGATTTTGGTCAATAAAAGTCAACCAACTTCCAAGCCATTTTTGACCTAGAAGGATGTTTCTCCTCAACTTTTTGTGGTCATGAAAGTTGTAGGTCTTGGTCTTAGATTTTCAAAGAGTATTAGAAGTATTTCATCTGATTTGTAGAACTCAAGTTATGAGGGTTACAAGTCAGGGGTATTTTGAGAAAGTAAGATTATAGGTCATAAAATTATAGGTCCATTTATTTTCACCAACTTCCATACTTCAAATGAAGATCTTTCCAACATCAAATGTGCTCCAAATGGTGTCATTTGTGCAACCAAACATTGAGTATGAAGGTGAGAAAATACTTAGAAGGGGGGGGGGGGGGGGGTTGAATAAGTATGACAGAAAATAATCAACGATAAAAACACAAGTATTTTTATCCTGGTTCGTTGAACTCAACTACTCCAGTCCACCCTTTTCAAGAGTGATTTGCCTTTCTCAACAAGGACTTAATCCACTATTCAAATCAACTGATTACAAATAGCACACCTAAGAACAACTGTTCTTAGTCTTCTCAAGAGATACTGATCTAACCTAGATCCTCTTAAGGAAAACTTCCTTTACAAATTAATGTAATACAATGAAAGAGTAAGAAATGCTTCTATGAAAGCTATAAACACAACTGTGTTATTTCTCTAAGTTTAGAACAATGTATGAACAGTGAAGAATATGAGAGCTTTAGCGTGAGAGAGTTCTTGCAATAAGTTTGTCAATTTCGTCTTAATCGTCACTTGAAGAATGAGCTATGATATCCTTTATATAGCCACTTGAATATTTGAGAGAATATTTTACCGTTGGAGAGGATATTTCCAATATCAAAATAGTACTGTCCTTTGTACTATTGCAGCAGAGAGACGGCGCACAAAATGTGGGTGTAGCAATTGTCTGCTGAGCTGTGATTATACCATATAAGGAATGTACCAGAGGAATAATATTCTTGCAGAGAATTTTGTCTATCCCAATTAAGGAAAGATTTGCTGGCATATTCCAACGGATATATTAAAATAATCTTCTTCAAATAATTCTTCAGATAGTTCAGATCAACAATCAATATCAGAGTCTTCAGTCTTCAGAACCTTCTGGAAACTTCAGAGCCTAATATGTTCTTCAGATGTTGATGAATCAGAGTCTGGTGCAGCTGTGTGCTTGAAGCGTAACATGCTCTTAGATCAGAGTCTTCACTCAGATCAGAGTCTTCTCTCATTCAGAGTCTCTTTCACTCAGATTCTTCTTTCATTCAGATTCTTGACAATACATGCAGCGTGTTGAATCTTCAGAATCTTGATAACTGAGCTCTTATACTTCAGATTCTTCTAATCTTCAGATGCTCTTGAGCCATTCAGAATTCATTGTTCACATCAAATTTGCTCTTTAAGATTAAAATCTTTTGTGCCTGTAGAAAACAGTTTAGAACAAATTTAGAGAGCATACTTCTTGCATACAAATTATCATTAATGTTATCATCAAAACATAGAGATATTACTAAGACACAATCTGTGCTCTTACAATCTCCCCCTTTTTGATGATGACAAAACATGAGCAATTTGTTCAATAAAAATGAATTAAAATTACTCCCCCTGAGATTAACAATCTCCCCCTGAAATGAATACTCTAATGGAATTAGATACTTCCCTTTCTGGTTGAGTACATTTCAGATTCAGAGCCTGATTACATTTCAGATTCAGAGTCTGATTGAAGCCTGGTTGACAAATCCTGGTTGACATATGTTTGACTTCTAGAGTCAAAGCTTGATGCCATATTAAAGCTTGATGCCAAAGCTTGATGCCATATGAACAACTTCAGAACACCTGGTTGTTTATCTTGCCATTTCCTGTCTTGAGTTATCTTTTAGATCATATTACTCAAGGTTAAATATCAGAGTCTGGTCTTTAGATATCAGAGTCTGGTTTACTCAGATTTAGCTATTTTTGATCAGGTTCTGAAAAGATAGATCTCAGGAAAAACTTCAATGAAATTTTGTCAGAGTCTGGTTAGATTCAAAAAGTGTTAGTAACATGTCTGACTTAGTTCAGATAATTGCTTATAGATTTGAACAATCAGATTCTATTTTGTTTCTCCCCCTTTTTGTCATAATCAAAAAGAATTTTAAAAGACAGTAAAGATGCAGAAGAAACACATATTCAGATAAGCAAACAGATCATTTTCATTAAGTCAAAAGAACAAAACATATCAGAAGACAATCAAAAACAAAGCAAAACATGAAAAACTTGTGCAAAACATCAAGAAGGTTTAGCAGATGAGGCTTGTTGAGAAGCAATGAGGTGCAGCAGTGCTGTAATCCTTTCAGAGTTTTCATCTTGCTTAGCCATCCAAGTTTTCATTTCTTCATTTGTCTTCTTTTGATCAATCATAAAATCCTTTAGTTCTTTGACATCCTTCTGAAGATCTGTAGATACTGAAATAGAAGATTCTGGAACAGTGGATTCTGAAACAATCTGAGCAACATCAGGTGCAGGAATTTCTGGAGGTGGAGGAGCTTCTAGAAGAAGAATAGGAGGAGGGTTTTTCTTAATCCGTTTCTGATAAGCAGCAAGCCTTACTTTTGACAATCTAAGACATTGAGTCCTGATTTTCAAAGCCTCCCTATTCAGTCTGTAAAGATATTTCTTCCAAACAGCATTAGCAGCCTCTTTGTCCATAGTAGTCATGCACACATCCATAATGTCAGCCAAGTCTGAGACATTATCCTTTTCAAAATCTCTTAACATAGTATAAACACTTGATCCCAATTCTGCTTCATCAGGGATTCTGGGTTGGGTTGGTTGTGTTTGTGGTGTTTGTTTAGAAGGTTGAGGTTGTGAGGATGGATGTTCAGATGTTTGTGGTTCAGAGGTTTGAGGTTGTGAAGATGGATGTTCAGATGTTGGTTGGTTGTTTTGTGGTTCAGATGTTTGTTGGTTGGTTGGTTCAGATGTTGGTTGTGGTTCAGATGTTGGTTGTGGAGTGTTTTGGATTTCAAGAGGTTGTGGATTGAGAGTTTGAGTTGGGGAGTTTTGTGGAGAGGGTGGATGTTCAGAAGTGGGAGATTTAAACAGTTGTTTCCAAACACTCTCAGTACGAGGTTGTTTGAGATTATTCAATCATTCATTAATGAAACCAGATGATTCATCATCAGATGATGTATTAGATTGGTTAGATTTTTCAGAAGTTGAAGATAAAATGATAGAACGGTTTAAGGGTGTGATATCTAATATCTCATTAGGATTAATGAAATTTTCAGGTTGGTCAGGGTGTTCAGGGTGAACATCCTCTGGAATGGTAGATTCTGGGATGGTGTTTTGTGGTTGTGGTGTTGTTTGTTGAGTTTGTTTGGATTGTGGTGTTTGAATGTTTGTTGGTTGTGGTGTATGAGTCTCAGATGGTCTAGATCTTTTAAATATGAGGGGTGAGTCAGATGGTGTGGGGGTAGCAGAATGATGAACAGGATTAGAATCAGTGTTAAATACCTGTTTCAGAGTATCTCTTATCTCTTCAAAAGTTGCTGCAGGAGGATTTTGTTGAACCTTCTTCAACTTCTTTCTTTTCTTCTTCTTCTCAGCATCTGAATGCTTTCTTTTCTTCTGATGACCTTCTTTATCAGCTTTTCTCTTACGT